CCCTCCATTAACACATCTCGACCTTTGACCCTTGACCCCCAAATTCGACATCCCGAGTCCTTTTCGTGATCTCCCCCCCCCCCGACGTCCCGAATATCAAGACCGTACGTCGAGCGGTTAAGATTTGTGCCCAACTATTGACGGACGCACGGATGGACAATCATGCGATTCTACAAGCTGCATCTGACTTCGTCAGCTGAGCTAATAATAATAATAATAATAATAACAATAATAATAATGAGAGCATAGTAATTGGAACAGAGTGACTGTGTAATTAAGCTTTGCACGTGCTATGTAATCAGGAGTACATAATATCAGGATCCTGACGTTATGCACTCCTGATATCAATGCAAGTATTCGTTACATAAAATATTACTTTTATACTATATAACATCAAGTTGCTATTTGGACATTTAAATATATATTAGGTATTTAAAAGCATAATAAGCCCATTGCTTATGCAATGTTGACGAATGCTAGAGTAACTGGCACCTTGTGTAGTTAATAAGTACATAACCTTACATCCAAATGCGTATTAGTTTGTCCAATATTACTGCTGGTTACTAAGAAATGTCTAACTGAAATCTGCAGTCAAAAAATCAGTTGGTTACAGTTTCAAACCACTGCCGGAGAAGCGGGACATTTTCGCACGCATGCTCGGCCGTACGCAATGCTATCATCAGTGATTTCGTAAACATGGATCACGCTCGTGATACGGAACTTCTTGTCAGGGCTGTCCAGGTGCGTCTGTGATTAGTACGTGTGTTTTACTCAATTTCCATGTTTAGTCCGTGGCCGTGATTACACCGCTGACCTCCATTTCATCTGGCGTCCAAAACATACGGCCGCACAAATGTTTACGTCATCGTTTGACTCCTGGATGACATTTACGGCACGTAAATGATACGTTGATACATATCAACAACCAATTTCAAGTCTTGTTTGTAATGTAACCAGCAGTGATAATGGACAAACTAATACGTGTTTGGCTATGTAGGTTATGTACTTATTAACTACACAAGGTGCCAGTTACTCTAGCATTCGTCAACATTGCATAATCAATGGGCTTATTATGCCTTTAAGTTTGGTTTAGGGTCTTCTATGGGTTCAATCCAGATTATGCCATAATAATTACAATGATTACAATAGATAATACAAGGAAATTATTTTAAATGCACTAGAATATAAGATCAAGGAAATTATTTATTGATAAATACTACAACCAATAATAAGCCCACATCAATCAATATTTTAACTATTTATCAAACATGCAAAACAAAAACTAAACTTGGGTATCCTCACAGAACACTTTTAACATGGCAGCTACTTACTGAAACTCTTTCCCACCATTCGCTACCAGGAAGCTCTTAATGAGCTTTCCTGTAGATAGCATGACGCGGTCTTCCACCAGCTCCAACAGAGAATCCAGTCCTGTGCCGTGCAGTGCAGACACAGTGATAGAGCCCTCGTCTACCTCAGGCAGTCCTCTGCAAGCCACAGACATGTGAAAACATGCTGCTTATTACAGTAGCATCAGATATATACTACCAGGGGTTAATAATGACAAATTGCAATTGTCATTGGTAATTGTAAATGACATCATGACATCAAATTGTAATTGACATAATGACAAGTTGTCATTATTCACCCTTGATACCACAGAGGGGCTGTTGTCACTATGATAAAGATCAGTACTATCATAACGCATAGAAAAGGTTCCCACTAAGAGTAATATTACGACTGTAATGTTTCTGACAAGGGAGTCCAGTTTACTATATCCACATGCAATTACTCAAGTAAATATATATAAGACCTGTTGATATCAGGGGACAATAATGAAGGCAAAATATAAGTAATGCATAAGATAACACATAATAACAGAAGCTGCACCAAATGTCTTACTAAAACGAAACTTCAACTTATTCCCATGAAATGTATTATAAAGTGACATTTTATAATGTATATGGTTTCGTATAGGAGCAACAATGACATACCCTTTAAGAAGGTCACACTTGTTGCAAACTTCTATCATATTGTCCATAAGTTTGTCACCCACTTTCAGGCTCATCAACGTCTGCATGACATTCTCCTTCTGAGCAACAGTGTCTGGATGACTGATGTCTCTAACATGTAGCACCAGATCCTACCAGAACATATCAAGGTCAGTTTAATGTGCGGCTGTGTGCGAGTGCGCACGTCGGTGTTTGTATATACATATCTGTAGCGTGCCAATACAGAGGCAAGACACAGATAGTACGAGACTATGGGACAGAATGAACTCACTCGGGCAAAACAATATGCTGACGTTAGAATGGGTATTTAACAAATTTATCAATCCCCATCTACCGCAGAGTGTAACTTGAATGAAAACCAGGTTGTCACATCGCAAGTGCACGAATCATAAAATCGTAACTACGGACCGTCGCAAAATTAGTGCAGAAACACATGCGTTAACCTCCTGCCCCTCTCACCTCCCCTCCCCCTCTCTCGCATCCCCTCCCCCCTCCCTCGCCTACCCTTGATGCTCTCTCGCCTTCCCTCGATGCTCTCGCCTCCCGCCTTCCCCCTCAGCAGCCGTACATACCGCATGTATGAGATCCTCCAGCGTCGCGCGAAAGGAGCCGATGAGGGAGGTCGGTATGTCGGAGATAAAGCCGACCGTGTCGATGTAGACGACGTTCATCCTGTTGGGCAGCGCGCCGGCGTGCGCGGTCACGTCCAGCGTCGCAAACAGCTGCTCCCGCGGCTCCAGCTTCACCGCGCCCGTCACCGCCTTGATCAGCGACGTCTTACCTGCAAACATGCGAGGTATTACCTACAAACATGCGAGGTGTTACCTACAAACATGCGAGGTATTACCTACAAACATGCGAGGTATTACCTACAAACATGCGAGGTATTACCTACAAACATGCGAGGTATTACCTACAAACAGCTGCTCCCGCGGCTCCAGCTTCACCGCGCCCGTCACCGCCTTGATCAGCGACGCTACTACAAACCATGCGCAGTATTACCTACAAACATGTGATTATTACGCTACAAACATGCGATGGTATACCTACAAACAGCTGCTCCACGGCTCCAGCTTCACCGCACGCCGTCACCCCCGGCCTTAATCAGCGGACGTTTACTCGTGCAAACCTGCCGAGGTATTACCCTACAAACATGCGAGGTCTTACCACAAAACCATGCGAGTATTACTACAAACAGCTCCCCGAACCGGCTCCAAGCTTCACCGCGCCGTCATCCCCCTCTCCTTTCGTCCCACGCCTTCCGATCAGCGACTGTCTTACCCGTACATAACTGCGCTCGTATTACCTCTACAACACCATCGAGGTATTACCACAAACCATGCGCACGGTATTAGCCTACAAACCTGCTCGGAGTATTACCGTACAAATCATGCCGACGGTATTACCTACAAACATGCAGTATTACCCTACAAACAGCTGGCCCCCACGGCTCCGAGCTTCACTCGCGCCCGCACCCGCCTGAATGCGCGACGTCTTACCTCGCAAAATTGCGCACGGTATATTACCAAAACATCGTCGCACGTGTTACCTACACACATCCGCGAGTAATACCTACAAACAGCTCTCCGATGGCTTCCAGCTCCACCGGCGCCGGTCACCGCCTTGATCAGCGACGTCTTACCTACAACATGTCGAGGTATACTACAAACAGCTGCTCCATGGCTCCAGCTCCACCGCGCCCGTCACCGCCTTGATCAGCGACGCTTAACCTGCAACAACATGCGACGTATTGACCTAAGCAAACAGCTGCTCCCAGTGCGCTCCATCTCCACCGCGCCGGTCCACACGCTTGATTCAGCGACGTCTTACCCCTGCAAACGATGCGAGTTCTCCGTACAAACACTCAGCGTACCACCTTCGCGCCACCCTGCTCCCATGGCTCCAGCTTCCCCGCGCCGGTCACCCGCCTTGATTCAGCGACCGTCGTTACCCTGCAAACATGCGAGTATTACCTACACACATGCAAGGTCTACTTACAAACATGCGAAGGTATTACCTACAAACAGCTGGCTCCCAGGGCCCGCTCACCGCGCCCGCACCCGCCCGGTCCCTTGATCAGCCGATCGCTCTTACTCTGCAAACATGCGAGTATTACCTACACACTGGCGATGTATTACCTGACAAACATGCGAGGTATTACCTACTAAGACAGCTGCTCCCGACGGCTCCATCGTCCACCGGCGCCGTCACCGCTGACAGCGATCGTCCCTTACCCTACCAAACATGCAGTTTACCTACAAACATGCGAGTAATGTACCTGTACAAACTGCGAGGTATTACCTACAAACCAGCTGCTCCAGCGGCTTCCAGCTTCACGCGCCGGCTCACCGCCTTGATCAGCCGACGTCTTACCTACAAACATCGCGAGTTATTACCTTACAAACCATGGCAAGTATTACCTACAAAATGCGAGTCATTACCTGCAAACATGCGAGGTATTACTAAAACATTGCGAGTATTACCTACAATACACGCTGCCACCGCGGGCTCCAGCTCACCGCAGCCAGTCACGCCTTTGATCAGCCACGTCTTTGACCTCATAACATGCAGGTATTGACCTACAATACATGGCGAGGTATTACTACAAACACGCTGCTCGCCGCGCCTCCAGCCCACCCGCGCCGTCACCGCCGATTGACAAGCGACGTCTTACTGCAAACAAGGCGAGGTAACCTACAAACATCGCAAGTATACCTAACAAACAGCTCTCCCATGGCGTCAGCTCCAGCCGCGCCGACCCGTCACCGCTCTGATCAGCCGACGCTACCTCTATCCCTCCCACACTGGCGAGCAGCGCAACACACCCACCCACACCACACAAAACAAAAACAAACAAATAACAAACATCTGCTCCATGGCTCAGCTCCACCGCGCTCCGTCACCGCCTTGACTCAGCGACGTCCTTACGCAAACAATCGAGGTGTTACCTACAAACATGCGAGGTGTTACCTACAACCCACCAGTAGGTATTACCTACAAAACATGCGAGGTATATTACAAACAGCTGCTCCCGTGGCTCCAGCTCCACCGCGCCCATCACCGCCTTGATCAGCGATGTCTTACCTAGAAATGGTCGCTCGTCATCATACGCTGTGACGCGTAACGGAATGACGTCATCAACCTGCTGGACGGCGCTAACTCACTGACCTGTCTGTCGCTGAGATGATCTGTCATCACTGCCCTGACCGCTAACCGCACTGATGCTTGAAGCCGACGATGACTGCGTCATCAACTGCTACCCCCTAACACACTGACCCGCTATGCTGACGATGACCTGTCATCACCTGCGACGCACAACCAGCGACCGCCTGACCGCTGACGATGACTGTCATCGATCGTGCTGACCATAAACACATGACCGCTGATGCTGACCATATGATGTCATTCATCTGCTGACTACATAACTCACTGACCCGCTGTAGCTGACGATGACTGTCATTCACCGCCTGCTACGCACATGAAACCCACTGACCGCTGATGCTGACGATATGACTGTCATCACCTGCTGACCGCTAACCACTGACCGCTGATGCTGACGATGACTGTCATCACCTGCTGACCACTAACCACTGACCGCTGATGCTGACGATGACTGTCATCACCTGCTGACCACTAACCCCACTGACCGCGGCTGGCTCGACGATATACTCGTCATCACCTGCTGACCTCTAACCACTGACCGCTGATGCTGACGATGACTGTCATCACCTGCTCGAACCACATAACCAGCTGACCCGCTGTATGCTCGACAGATGACTGTCATCACCTGCTGACCACTAACCACTGACCGCTGATGCTGACGATATGACTGTCATCACCTGCTGACCACTAACCACTGACCGCTGATGCTGACGATGACTGTCATCAATCTGCCTGACCATCTAACCACCTGACCCGTTGATGTGATGAGTGACTGTCATCACCTGCTGACTGCGCTAACTCCCACTTGACCGCTGCCGCTGACTGATTATGACCTCATCACCTGCTGACACACTAACCCCTGACGCTGATGCGATGCGACGAATGACTGTCATCACTCTGCGACCACTAACCACTACACCGCTGATTGCTGAGCTGATCGATAGACTTGTCATCCCGTGCTGACCACTATACCACGGACCGCTGAATCGCTGACGATGACTGTCATCACCTGCGGACCAATCACCACTGACCGCCCCTGCCGCTGATGCTGACGATGACTGTCATCACCTGCTGACCACTACACACTGAACCGCTGATGGCAGACGATGACTGGCGACCCCTGCTGACCAGCTAACCACTGACACGCAGTATCGCGAGAGTACTGTCATCACCTGCTGACCCTAACCACTGACCCGCTGATGCTACGATTGAACTGCTCACTGCTGACGCACTAACCCACTGACGCCTCCGCGTATGATCTTGACGATGACTGTCATCATCTGCTGACCACTAACCACTGACCGCTGATGCTGACGATGACTGTCATCACCTGCTGACCGCTGGCGCGTCATTGCCCAATATCGCTTTTCTAGCGAGTCTTGCCCGAATTCTCTATACTGATGCAGAGATGCAACACATATTTGAATGCAAGTCTGTAGTTTCCCTGGCTCATCAAATTAAGTAGTTCGACGGTCACGTATGTGACGGCCGAAGTTTGCTAGGGGGTCCGGCCATGCCCCCCCCCATGCTCTCGCGAAATTTTTTGATTCTGCAGATTGCAATTCCTCGCCATTCTGAGGGTCAATAATGACAATAAATTGACAAAAAAATGACAAAAACAAAAATTGTTGTCGACCCAGTGAAATTCGTAACGTTTGATACACACGGTCGTAGTGGTGTACCAAGAATAGAATTCGTAAAAACGATAAATCGTAGTGGTTGATCCTCTAGTAGCATGTTACACGCCTCTTGATGTTTAGACCGTGATCGTTTCTGTTGATGAGAATCGTGATCACTTCTTCTGCACCATCATTCTCACTGACCGCTCGCGCGTCGTCGTCTGAAATCGCTATTCTAGTGCGTCTCGCCCGAATGCACTGTACTAGCATGTATCACCTAACGTTTAGTCATTCCGGGGGATCAAGTTGGGACCTGCACGTGGTGAGCCTGCTATGAATTTTGGAGGCAACTCCAAGAAACTAATTCAACATGACCAGACTGGAAATACATATTATGGACCGGAACGGCAGAACAATGGCACCGCCCAATTTGATAAATTCCAGATACGGACTCGACAAAGAAGAATAGTCGTTCCATTGATCGAGATGAAAAGCGTGATCCCTTTCCTACATCATTTTTACAGGACTGATCAGACATTAAGAAATTTCGTTACCACTTGTGCACAGTTACCCTACAGAGACGAGAATGATAGCTCTAAAAATGCTCGAGTGTCCAGAGGTGTGTGCTGTACGGTATGGATTTTGTAATGTCACAATCAACTATGACGAAGAACTACATTTTCAATGTAATAATAATTTGAGCACTAACCGGCGTTCGTGTAGCCTACGACGGCCACTGTAGGGATCTCCCTGCGCAGACGATTCTGCTTTAGCACCTGACGCTTGCTGCTCACCTTCTCCAGTGCCTTCCTGATCTTAGCTTCTCTTTCCTAGTAAGTTAAACACATGCTAACGAGATTATATAACCGAACGATTTTAATTTATCTGATAAAAGACTGCCAAGTAACATTTTAATGGTTTTAACGGTTGTAGGACACGAATTTTTATATTACACTATTGCTGTAGCAGAGTTGTTTTAACAGGACAGGTGGTTTACCTGTTACTTATAGTAACTGTAGCATCAGAATGAACAATTTAAGAGGTAGGATGAAAATGACAATTGCAATTTGATACAATTACTTGTTACCTTCAGCAGCCTGTGGCGCGTTTCATAGTAGGTCTCTCCCGGCCCACCTACATAGTGAGCCTTCCCACTTGGGTGGTCTATGTTGCCCTTGTGGATATCATGCAGACGTGACCTTTTTGAAAAATTAAACAGGCAGAAAATACATAAGAAAGAGATGGGTATGGATTAAATGACTGTGAAACTTTAGAATTGCAATTTTAGGTATACTGAAAGGTAGTACTGAAAGTAGTAATTGGAAGAACTGAAGGTAGTAACATATTTCATGAAAGATGTGCTGATAAAGTGACCTACCTGATGTATGGAATCTCAGCAAGAGCAATCTGCAACTTGGCCTCTTTACTTTTGGCATGTTGTACAAATATCTGAAGCACGATACTGTACCTGCAATTTATAGTTTACGATTTACAATCACTGGAAACAATTAATCAACAATAATAAAAGCAGCAACAACAACAGTAAAAAGAATACTAAAACATAAAATATTAACAGTACAGTAAAAGTCCAAAAATCCGGATGCCAGATATCCGGACCACCCGAGAATCCGGACTTTTCGAAAACTCTCAAATTTAACTCTCTGCTTAATAAACTAAAAATAAACAATTCATTTGTGTAAAATAACTTCTGCTTTCATTTGCTTACTGTATTTTTTTTTACAATTTTCATTTTTAAACATGATTTCAAGCATTACACACTCTTTTTTTGTAGTGAAAATCTTTTATTTACATTTTTGTCAAGTGTTGACTTTATTTTACTTTAAAACTGCTCATTTTTATAAATGAAGTCTACCGTATTTGCTAATGAATAAACTATCAAAATTTACCTGTTCATCTCTTCTTTATTCCTCCTTAAATTTGAATTTTAAAAGTACTGCTTGAGAATCCGGAAAATCCGAAAATCCTGACCGTCCCAATCCCCGAGCAGTCCGGATTTTTGGACTTCTACTGTAGTTGTAGTAGATAATTATATACCTGTCATACACTGGTACTCCAAAAGCATTTTCTAGTTCTGTGTGCTGAACACCGGTCAACTGGTCAACATTAATCAATACGGCTGTGATGTTGCTTCGAGAGCGAATCAATTTCGTCACTTCTTCAAAATTTCCTCGACCGAAGATTGTCTTCTTATTTGGAGTTTTTGTGGAGAACATCACCTACAGATAACATATATACATTAAGTTGGTTTCAGTCAAGGGTCGAGATGTGGCGAGGAATATCCTACGTACTGACTAAAAACGAACCTTTTCAACAGCTTTCCAGTTTGGAAGTGTCTCTGCTAAAGCCACTGCCTCATCCAGCTGCAACTGACCAGTGGTCAAGTAATTTTTCTTTGGCCCCCACTTCACGTCTGGATGCACGACAAACACTCTCGCACCGTGGCCAGGTACCTGCAGACAGACACAGTTACAAGGAAGGTGTTATCACAGACGTATGCCGGAGACAGTGGAGATAGCGCCTGTGACATACTGTGTATCTGTGATTGTTTCTCACAGATACATACATGATACATGATACATGTATCTGTATGATACATCTGTGGATCTGTGTATCTGGCCCTGTGACGCAACAACGTCTTACAAAGCAAATCAGGACCTTTTCATATAGTCAGTTTTAAGACAACCAAACATCGAAACGTTCACATACATGTACCTTGTAGATTTCACGGATGATCTCTTGATTCTTGAGGAAGGCATCATCCACGTCGACGTCGTCGTGGTCGTAAACCTCCTCATCATCAATCGGCTTCTTCCTGTGTTTCCATAGCGATGGGGTTGAACTCAACCACCTAAGAGTGAAGAATGTCGCCATGTTGAATACGCACACATCAGCAGTAGCACACATATAGAGTAGATTACTAGAATGCACATCAATAAAGAATTGCCTGCTTTTATGTTAAACATAGTATCTAGTAGTTAGTTTATGAAACCACAGGGCTCCCTCTGGATGTTTTAAAGTTTGAGCCAAGACTTGAGCCACTAAAATTATTTTTTAGCCACCAATGAAAAACTATAGCCACTGTTCACTTTATCATATGTGCTATGCAAAGCATAAAAAGGAGATAGGTATAGGAAAAAAAGGTGTATGAAAACATTTTACGACACGACACTACAATTTCATGATTTTCATCATACAATAGTAATTTTCTGGGCAGCTAAATCATTTGCTAATTGTATTTGCCACTTAGTGTAGTAAAATCGCCACTGTTATTTAGCACATTTTGCTAAGGTGGCAAACGCCAGCGATAGCCCTAAAAGCATAGCAATAGATAGCTGCTGGATACGATTCACTAGTGCAGTGCAGCAATAACAAAGGATGCGAAATGAATTATGACATCTATAATAGTTGGCACAAGCAAGACAAAACAATATACTATATATACCAGTTCTGTCACCAAGTTGTTGTTTTTTCATAGAGAGCCAGCTTTTATTCTATGTAGCCACTGAACATATAGCACTGTTTACACCCTGAACTTAGAACAAATAAATGACAAGATACCACGTCTTGGTAATTTACATGTTAGCTACTAACAAAATCAGCTACTTCCACTAGCTCCACATACTTGTTAGTATATACCACATATATTACACAAGGGAACAGAAATCTCAATGGTGTAAATGTGTGGTAGAAGTTTCTTTTAACATCTATATAGCATTCCTTAAGTTTGGGTTTTGGAGGGAGTGCACCCATTTTAGTGAATGAAAAAGAAATCTTGGAATTTGCCACATAGGCAAGTGGGGGATGACCATGCGGGCTACAAGGTGTTAAAAAAGTCTATTCACTACTAAAAGTGAGTCTCACCTTTTCTGCGATAACATTGGCTTTGTGGTGTGATTGGAAGACCCAGAGCAGCACAGGAGGGACACGTGACACAGTTCCACACTCGCGCTTGCAGTGGACATGACTGAAGGACACGACACAATTCCTCGCAAGGACGATAGTTCCTTCCATGGTAGGCGCCTCATAATGACCTGAGTCATACTAACTGTTTGTAACAACAACAATGACAAATTCAACCAAAGTACTAAGATAATATTATCTTTCATAATTATAAGAAATTATCACATATTTAATCTGTCAGTATGTCAAACAAATATTTTAAGGCAGTCAAGTCTGTGTTAGCAGACACCTCTATGTAAATAACACCTGTTTTTCGTAGTCATAAAAAAATTTCTCTGTTGAAAAATACTGTTACATGCCATGTACACATCAGACAACCGCACAAGGCAGACAGTGGACACCGATTTTACTCCTCCCAGCAGTGCTCCTGTTGGATAATACAGAAATCACTTTTCCCCAATACAAGGGCAATCATCAGGTGATCAGGTGATAGAATACCATGATCACATCATAAATGAAAGTGTCAATGATACTATAGCTCACCTTGGGTGTGATAGAAGATGGAGATGATAATTAAAATTTGGTACGTATGTGTTTCATTTATGACGGACCGAAACGTGATCAAGTCCTTATTCCCTGTTTTATACTAATAGAAATTTTACTGTTTTGTTTCAGGGTTAGTTTTGATGCGAAAGTAAATGTTTCAAATCTGAAAGTCTGAAATCTGGACGAGAGATGGCGCTACACCTAAATGATCGCCATTTTAGTTTTCGATTATCGCGCAAATAAAAGTAATAAAATATTCCAGTCAAATTACTGTAACGAAGAATCTAAAACACAGTATTACACGTAGGTATGATTAGGTAGGTAGGTAGGTAAATTTAACAAAATCGAATGAATCTAGATGGCCATTTCCATTTTTGCCAAAAAGTTGCCGTGGCTCGAAAGTAGGTCGACTGGCGTGCTCCAAAATAGGACGTTCAAATCTCTCCAATAGGAGTAACAACTGTATGCAACAATTTGAAACATGGTGGTCAATACGGTTCCTTGGAGTTGATCGTTGACCGTAGAGACACTGAAATCCATATAAGACGATGCCAAAATCTACCCAAATTAAAAAAA